CAATAACCAAAAGAAGAGAACAACCTAAATGTTTCAACGGAAAATATGAGATATCCACACAACGGGAGATCATCCAGCCATAAAAATAAAACACAGATGCATGACACATGGATGAACCCTGAAAACATAAGTGAAAAGAAGACAGTCACAAAAGGGCACATGCTAGTTCATAAGATGATCTTTGTTGGGTTGCTCCTGGCTCTTATAAAAAACAATTCTTAGGTCTGGGGCTATAACTCATTGGTAGAATACATGCTTAGCATTTATAAGCCCTGGTTTCATTTCCCAAAACCACAAAACGAATAAATAAATAAATAAATAATAAATAAATACATTTTATTCAAGCCTACAACATGCCACTCACTTATACTCATTTTTTTTTTTTTAATTTGGTTGTCCAGATAGTCCTGAAACCAAGGCTCGGAAAAATTATGTAACTTGCCCAAGGTCAATAGCAAATAAGTGACAATAAAAAGTACTAGAACTCAGTTTTGATCCTGATAGCCCTACAATTTTCAATACACAATTATGTCAAGCATTTTAACATGCCATAAATAATATAGCAAATCTAAAAACTAATTAGCTAATAAGTGAAATGAAATTTGATAGTGTGTCAGAAACAGAACTATGTAGTAGTTAATTTTTTAGTAGACATATGTATATTTAATATACCAAAATTTACATAACTACTAACATATTTTCAAAGAAGTTTTCAAAGATGCTTTAACTATCATTTTAGCAATGCAGCCAGATCAGAAAATTCTCAAATGGTCTATGCACTTTAAACACTAAACCTAGTACCAATAATTTAATCATTTCACTTACAAAAAAAGAAAAAAAGTCCTTGAAGGAATGGTTAAGAAAGTTTGCTTGGAAGTATTTTTAGCAGTTAAGTAAAAATTTGATGGTGAAAATAATAATAAACTTCTAAGAAGTAAGCTAATGTAAAACTCTAGATATACTGGCCCTGGAATTTTCTTTGTTCACTTTGAATTTACGACAGACAAAATCCCAGTATATCCCATGGTTAAACAAAAGTCAGCAGCAGAAAGAAAATTTGGAGAGACATTTTACTTTAAAATATCAATATTCTTAACAGCTTGCATATTCAGAGACATTTGGCAAAAAATATACAGATACTAATCAAGACTGAAACATGCTATTCTTAATATTATGAAAATGCTTTATTCCTTAGCATTATTCACTCCAGTTTCCTTCTCCTGTGTCTTTTATTTTCTTTATACTCAAATATCTGGTGAAAATAAGAAAGCCCCTGGCCAAGAATTTAGCTCAGTGGTGCCGCCGCCTGCTTCTCAAGCACAAGGTCCCAAGTTCGTAAATAAATAAATAAATAAATAAATAAATAAATAAATAAATAAAATAAAGCCCTAATCACAAATTGCAGGTGTCCCTATTAACCACAAAACAGCTCACACTGTGAGTATGTGTGCCCTATCCTGACCTTTCTTCAAAGGTATAACAATCACATATTCACATATATGATAGATGACAGTCTTTCCCAGCTTATTCCCTTTAAACACTCTGTCTACTATATTTGCATACATCCTTGGCCCCAAATTATTTCTCTATGAACACAAAAACAAAAGCAATGACATCTATCTTCCTGAAATATCTGAAAATTGCCCTATTCTATCTTAGCACATTATAACCCACATTATTCTTTTGTCAGGATTTCTCTTACGAGGCAGTTTGCTTTGATAAAGAAAGAGAACAAATACAGTTTTATTTATAGCAAAGCAAGGTTTACAACTAATGCCAATTTTAAGGCAACCTCCTTAATATAGTTTTTATATTTTGTTAGTGTTATTCATTTGAAATTAAATTCTCAAATCAAGATTTTAAAAGTTTTACAAGATTCTAATGGCTTTTAAACAAAATTTAGTTTATCACCTCTGAGTATTTTCTATCAATTCCATCCCTATACTTTTATTATTACATACTGCCATATTTACAAGTACTCCAATTTTTAAATACTACCCAAAGTATCTAATCTTTACAATGACATTTTAAATTCTTAAGAGTACTCTGTTTACTCACAGATAAATGACATATTATTTGAAAACCGAAGGCTCCCTCTCAAAGAAGTAAATTAGTTGTCCTGTCCTTCCTTCGTTTAAAATAAGGTTGCTGTTTCTGGCCATGCAAAAGGCTAAGAAGTTGTCTCCGGTCATGTGTGTATTAATCAAAATACTGGCAAGGAGGCAGATACAATTTTAAGGGAGTACTTCTGTTGTACTTTGATGTGTTAGCAGATTATGATCAGAAAAAAAGTGAAAGCTATTACATTTCATTTTAAATGAAAACTAAACAATGAATACATCTAAAAACTGGGTCTATGACTGACAATAACATTCTACAACTTGTATTAGTTTTTCACATTTCCTATATAATTTACAGGCATTTATACTGAATACATTAACATTAAATCTAGCACTTATTTCTCAAAATATTAAATCTTCTGTCCAAGAATTACAAATACTTGGTACTATATTTCAAATTACTTTAAAATATTATGTAAAACAGCCTTAAGTGCAAAGATCAAATAAAAGTATTTATGAGAACCACAAGGGGTTACAAAGTATAACAAAATACATCTATCCTTTAAGAAAAGTAGGGTCTGGGGATATCACTCAGAGGTACAGCACTTGCCTAGTATGTTTCCTGGGTTTCCATTTCCAGGAAAGAAATGAAAAGAAAGGAAAAAAAGAAAAAAAAAGTAAGCAGCAACAGCATCAGGGTGCTCCTTAGTGTCAGGAGGCTAAGGTGGGGATCACCTGAACTCAGTAGCTGGAGTCCAGCATAGTCAGCGTAGCAAGACCTGACCTCAAAAATTTAAAAAGGAAGAGAAAGAAACAGCAACAAGGGAAAAAAATTATAGAAATAATCTTTTTTGTGTTTAGGCCCCCAAAATGACTAAAACATTTCACCAAATGAGTCTGGCTTAAACTATATGTTTCTTTGTTGTGATAAGAATATTATCTACACATTTATGCCTGATTCTATGTAATGCAAATGGGCAGATAAAGTCAATCTTAAAGAACTTTAAAAAGAAAAACAGAAGACCTGATTCAAGCCGGATATATTACAACACAAACCTTCTCCAATAAAGAATATTTATAAAAAATTTTAGGGAGGGAAGGAAAAGGTAAGTAGTAGGAATTGAAAGCTAGTTAAGAGTCAACTGCATGTGGAGTATTTTTTACTCTAACAAAATCTTTAGGAAAAAAAGAACATAAAATCCCTTCATATATGTGACAAAGTGTTATCTACTGCATAAAACACTTAATTATAAAGTGACGATGATTCTACAGCATTTGAAGATCATACACACAACACACTTAATTACAAAGTGAAGATGATTCTACAGCATTTGAAGATCATAAACACTTCTGAATGTTCTCAGTATCACTAGATAAAAAAATTCTTAATATAAATGTACTAAAGAATATGTATGTGATCTTTTTTTTTTTTGTACCAGGGATCAATCTTGGGACCTTACGCCTGCAAAGCGCACAGTGGAACCACTGAGCTAAATCCCCGGCCCTATATGTGATCCTTTGCAAGCACATTTGAAGTGTGGGTCCTGAATAAATGTATACAAGGAAAAGAAGCAGATGATATGATAAAGTATAGTAGAAACTGCTCCAGATTTGGAATAAAGAGACTTAGTGAGACACAAATGTACCATATATATATGGTGCCTTGGGAAAATTAGAAAAATGCCACTCATGTCTAGCCTCAGCAAAGTGCAAACATGAATGTGAATCTCCATTCAAACCCGCCACTTTGTGCATATGTTTGTATGTATGTATAAAGCCCAGATCTGGCCAATTCAAACATGGCCCTACATAGCATTTACTAGCTTGGTATCTTAAGCAAGTGAGGTTCAACTTCTTTATCTCCCAAACGGAGATTATACTCCTAGTTCACAGATTATGAATGTTACTATAGAGACATTTGCTAAAGCACCCAATATAGGTTCAAAAGACACTTAAATGAACAGCTACATGATAACAATGAAACAAAAACGCTCATCAAACAGAAGTATTTTTTCTCCACATCTAAAAAAAAATAAATCACTTAGAAATAAAACATTTCACCTGAGTTAGTCTAGTTTTAAAGGTTGTATTATGTATAAAGCAGCATCTCAAACTGACTTCTATATTCCTCAACACTCGTTCAAGGCGCTCTAGTATGTGAAGGAAAGGCAGGCAGAAAAATTCAGCACGCAAATATTCTAAGTTTGGGTATATGCATTTGACATCAATCAATCTCATTAGATCCATAATGCCTATTAACATTATAAAGGATAAAAAAAGTCCTGTAGTGAGGAGGTATTTAACTGTTTTTTGTTTTTTTTTTGAGGTACCAGGGATCATACTCAGGACCTTGCGCTTGCAGGGCAGTGCAGGCACAGCACCACTGAGCTAAATTCCCGGCCCAGTATTTAACTTATTTACCACTGAATTTATCAGGTCACAGACCTCTTTCATATATAAATAAACTTACAGAACTAGTTTAAATTTTTTCATAGAACAGTTTGGATAGTTTATGGATTGAGTCATATTTGTGTATGATTCCATATGAAACAGCACCTGTTCATGTTATTGACAGTTATTATTAAAAATATAAAATAGATTTTAAGTTGCAGTTATTAATTTCATTACTTTACAAACTTTAGAGAAATTCAATTCTGAAAACTGCTTTTCAATATGTTGACATAAAAATCTGTCTGATATGAAAAATGAATCAAAACTTTAAATGTTAAGCCACATGTATAACTTTTTATACATAAAAACGTAATATTTAAGTTACACATCTTTGCTCTTTGTGGCTAAAGAATTATGGTTATAAGGCCTTTACAAGAAAATAATCCAAATTACTATTATTTACATTCTTAAGCCTCTATTCCTTTCTCATACAGATATTAAAGCACACATAAAGCAAAAACATTTTATTATTCTGCTGTTTTTACTTACCTAATATTTTCACAGCATAATGAGGACTCTCTAAGATAATTCCTTCTTCTGTATCAAATATGGGGTTATCTATTCCAGTCTTTGGGGGAATTTGGGCTAGTTTCTTAAGTCTTATGGAGGAATTAAGGTCAAGTTCTTGTTTTTTCCCTTCTTCTTCTCGCCTACGTCTCATGTCCTCCTGTTGCTGTCGAATGCGCTCCAACTGTGCACTTCGTCGTACTGGCATCAGCCTGGCGCCCAAATCTCCGGGGCAGTCGACAGCCATCTCTCGGTGCTTCCGAGGTTCCTCTGGTGATGCAAGATCAACATTTTTTATTTCGCTGTCTGATTCCTCTGTAACATGCCCATTCATATAGGATGTTGTCATGGTTTATCTATAAAAACCTGTACCACTTTTTATAAATCAATTTTTCGTATAATGCCAATTTTCTTGATTCTGTAGTATAAAATCCATGTTTACTTCAAAAAAAACCTTCTCACATCACATAGTAATGCTATGAAAAATATCCATGAGGGAAATCTAAGGGGAAAGATGGGGAAAAAAGTGTATGAATTACAACATAAAAGTAGATACTATATAGCCCATTTCAAACCTCCACACAATACACAAAATATCTAATAAATATACAGCAATATTTTTCTATGTAGATTAAACGAATTTTTTATTTTATAGATAAACCTAAGGGAATCAAGGCATTTCCAAAAAAAAAAGTTACCTCCCAAGAATTTGAAGCATAATATTCAATGTTATAGCTAGGAAAAATACTGGAAAGTTTAGCAAAGTGGAAATGTAAAAAGTTTTGGCTGCTAAGTTTATAAAGAGTAAGTTGAAATAGTCTTTAAATTATCTTTTTAAAGTTACCTCAATATGATACTTCATGCTCAACTAATATACATGGGATTAGAAAATTAACTTCCAAAAAGTAATTAATGAATTTGACATACAGCAGGCCATGTTGATAGCTCACTCAAGACATAGGAAGTCTGGGAAAATTAACTCATCAAGGGGTTGAGATAACAAAGATGCCTACAGAAGAAACTATAATTAGCAGCAAAGGCATCTATACTGAGTGAGAAAAGGGCCAAATAAGTTATCAGTCTTTAAAATTTATTACATTTATTTTAAAATTATGGGTTTGGTTTTGTTTTGTTACCGGGGCTTTGCACTTGGAGAGGCAGGTGGCAGAACCACTGAGCTAAATCTCCAGCCCCACAGTGATTTTTAAGTAAGGATTCATTTAGAGAAAATGGTAGTGTCTAATACCACTCAAAAGTTTTACAAATCCTACTATATAACAAACATAATGCTGGACCTAGAGTCTAGAAAATTGAATTTTCATTTTGATTCTGCCACTTTTCCTAGAGCAACAGTGGCAAACCTATGGCACGCACGTTGCACTGGGCTGTTTGCACTACTGAAAGCTCTAAAAGGTTCGCCATCACTGCCCTACAGGTTCATGATTTAAGACCAGTTTCTCTCTCTGAACTTCAGAAACTTACAAAATGTATTCATAGGATTATTTTGAATTATAAATACAATAAGGTAAACAAGCTATAAAATGAAAAGATAATCTGGTTCTATTTTAAAAATCTTCCAACATATTTGAGACAAAAATATTTTATTGAATAATACTGCCTTTTCATCAATCCATTTCTCAGGCATAAATAAGCAGATTGTTTATTTGTATATAAACTCACACATTAAACCTAATTAACCTTTTATTCAAGGCTTTAAACATATTTACAGTAATACACTTACTACCTCCTTGAATTCAGCATCATTTCAGTAAATAAGTTGGTTACAGCAATTACAGTATGATACTAAGCAAAAACCAGGTTTTTAGACAATATTCCTAATACCAGTCAATCTCTTTCACATATCAGGCCATAGTAAAATAGGGACAGAAGTCAAAGTATTTAATGTACAAACCTATGCTATCAGGAGAAACAACAAAAGCCAACAATCAGGAAAACTAAAATTACACTTTCACAATTTGGGTAGATTATTATCTTTCATCCAAATTTTAGCTTCTTAGGGCTGGGGATGTAGCTCAGTGGTGGAGTGCCTGCCTGGCAAGCACAAGGCCCTGGGTTTGATTCCCAGCACCAAAAAAGAAAAGTGAAAAAAAAAAAAGACCAAATTTTAGCTTCTTTATTAAAAACTACCTTATTTACCATTGTTTATTTTTCATTAAAATGAAAGCCATTAGATTGATTTTAGGCAATTTTAAGCTTTATATGTTGATAATATACAAATGCAAATTCAGCTGATTTAATGTTTTCACTACAAGTAAGCAGAAATTTGTGTAGGAGTTATTGTGTAGGAGTTATTAAGAATAGTTAAACTATTCTTAACTTTAATTTTTAAAATCTAGGAGTGTACATATTTTCAGAAAATTAACTCTCAACCTTTATTTACAATTACTGGACATTAAAAATCAAACAATAATAGATTATATATTTTTATATAAATTAGATTCTGAAATTAAAACTCAGCTTAAAAATACTAAAAAATGTATATATACCCACTACACTAAATCATGAGGGAAAATTATAGCTCATGCAACAGAAACTGGTTCAGGTGATCTTGGTCCTAATTCTCATAGTTGGTCATGACTTGATTTCCAGGAATTGGGGAAAAACAAAATATCAAACATCCCCCAGAATTCTCAAGGTTGGACTATTATCATCATGCTTGTCTATCTGGATCTAGTCTTTCTTTTACTTTCAGAAAAATTTCTTGAGTCTGATATTAATCCACTAAAATTTCATTTTTATTACCTCCCCTGGAAAGCTCACAGTCTACCACAAAACAGTAAAGAAAATAAATGTCGGTCTCTCCTCACTACCAGAGTCCAAATTTGTTAGGTTTAGTTCTTTATTTCTATACCCCCAGTGATTAGCACAATACATGTCACAGAGGAAATACCCAAGAAATATTTGTGCAACTAAATTTGAAAATGTCACAAATTCACAAAGGATGAACAGATCTAAAATTTAGTCTGTGGTAGAGTGAAAGCAAATACTGAAAACATAAGGATACATTTCTTTGCCCTGCATCTCAAAGGGCAACTAAACATTAATCACACAGAAGAGCCTGTTCCAGACCAACGGAATCACATGACCATTAAAGAAGGAACACGGTAAGAAAATGGCACGTTTGGAAAACAGCAGAATGTAACTGGGTGTGGTGGTGCACACCTGTAATCCCAGCACTCTGGGAGGCTGAGGCAGAAGGATCACTGTGAGTTCAAGACCAGCCTGGGCTACCTAGGGAGTTCCAGGCCAGTCTCAACTACATAGTGAGACCCTGTCTCAAAAAGAAAACAGCAAAATGTAGCAAGCTGGCAGAACAATGGAAGAATGTCCTACATGAGTAATAAAACTGAAAAGGAAGCAGAAGTGATGCTGCCAAGAATTTTAAAAGCTAAAGATCTGTGCCCTGAAAGTGAAGAATCACTCAAAGATTTTAAGCAAGGGATGATATAATCACACTTGGTTTTACAGAAATAGCACTCCTACAGAAGTGCACAGGAGTGACTGAAATGTGGCAATGAGACCAGTTTGAAAGTGCCTACAACATGGGATTCTGAACTAAAGCAGAATGAAGAAAAGTTGTAAGTAGGTTATGGAAACAGTGGAACTTGGTGTCTACTTCACACAGCAGGGCAAAAATAGAAGGAGAAAAGGTGGCAAAGGAGATGAAAGGGTAGAAGTAACAATAACTCTACCTACAGCAACACGTGCTGAGCACTTCATCATGACAAGACCCCAAAAATACACTGAATGTTTAAATTTTTTAAAAAATTAATGAATATGGTGGGGGAGGACACAGCATAAGGTTCTTATAAACCTGCCTTGCCTTGGATGGTACATGGCAGTGGCATTCACTGTATTTTTCATCACACCTCAGAAAGACAATCATGAAAAAGGAATTCTAGAACTGCTTCAAAATGTAAAACAACGAAATAAGTGAAGAGAAGGAAAGTATTTTGAGGGAGATTAATGGTAATGCTACTTGCCCATTAGTCACTAGTATGTACACAGAAAAAAGGTTTCAGGCATCCACTGGGGTGGAGGATTTAGAATGTATCCCCCCAAAGGTAAGGGGGAACTACTGTATTGCAAACACTTCACACAGTACTCACTCATTTTAACCTCAGGACAACTCTAGAACTAGGTCAAATTTGTCCAGAATGGAACTGAAGTAGGTCTTGAAGACAAGACAGGCTATATGAATCAAGGCAGGAAGATAAAAAATAGGGGAGGGGCACAAATTAGGGTAGTTGAAAAGCAGAAGGAAAGCAGAAGATGAAAGATATGACTAGAAAATATGGCTGAATCCAGTTTATGAAAGGTTTAAAATATAAATCCTTAATCCGGATGGGTATTGGTACATGCTTATAATCCCAGCAATCTGGAGGCTAAATCAGGAGGATCACCATAAATACAAAGCCAGCCTGGGCTACACATAGTGAGTTCAAGGACAGTAGGAGCTTCATAGTAAGACCCTGTCTGAAAAAACACAAATAAATAAATAATATCCTTTATCCTGAAGGCAGTAAGAGAATAAAATAAGTTTAGAAAAGAGGAGCAAATTATATATAAATTCAGTTGCACATATACTTTTGGCTAGGTACTGGGGTTATAGAGGTAAGATCCCTCCCTGCCTATTACTCTGTCTCCCAAAATTTCCAACAAGGCTCTAGAAGTTAAAATACTATTTCTCTTTAATCTACTCCTTTCCTATTTGTCTTCTTCCATTTCCAATTCTGTGACTGTGTCATTCAGTTACTCAGCATCACATAATGTTGAAGAAAATAGCCTCTAGAATCAGACTGCCTATAATCTAGTCTCTGCCCACTCTCCTTTTATGTCTCAGCTTGAAAACATTCTCTCATGGAATCGAACAATCCCTTTACTTCTTAAGATAGACTGCAACTATGTCTTTGCACTTCATCAGAGTAAAAAAGCCTTCTAAGGTCAGGAGTTAGGTTGATTTATCCCTGGATCCATGATACCAGCAAGAACCAAGAAAACAAGGCTTCAAAATATGAACCCAGGTGGTGTGATTCAGGGTCACCACTCTTAATCACTATCCTTGGGTCACTAGGTAGATGACAGTGTTATTAACTACAGTGGAGAATATAGGAAGAGAATCAGAGGAAGAGAAATTAAAGGGAAAGGCAAGCTTCGTTTTCAACAAATCAATTTCAAGGTGACTACATATCACCCAGGACAAGTTCTAGTTGACTAGGAACTTATTCATCTCAATAGCCATGATACGTAGTAAGGAAGAGATGATTACTTAAACATATGACTAAATCATGTGTCTGTTTAGAACCTCTGACGGTTTCGATACTATCTAGAAAATAAAGTCTAAACTACAGGATCAATCTAAGTTTTCTATGTTTTTACTACTGTCCTGCATGAGCCTTTTAATTTAGCCTCCTCATTTGTGCATATCCTATATCTTTTTTCTTCCTGCCCACAGGCCTTATGAACTATATATATCTCCTTTCATTTTCTATCTTCAAGACCTATTTCAAGTCCCTAATTTCTTGAAGAAATCTTTTAGACCTTCTTAGTTAAATAACAAGCTCATCACACAGAACAATCCAAAAGACTCTATCATGCTCACAAGTTAATTCACGAAGGCCAGGAAAGATTCTAAAGTACTTCCAGGAAGAAAAAAAATTATGCTGTGTCCAACAGTTTTAATATTAAGGTCATATTAATTTTAATGCAGCTCCTATGATCCTAGCAATGAGGGAGGTAAAGCAAGAAGATTACAAGTTCAAGACTCGGGCAATTTATCAAGATTGCTTTAAAATAAAAAGGCCTGTGGTTGTAACTCCATGGTAGAGTACCCGTGTTCTCTCTCTCTCTCTCTCTCTCTCTCCCTCCCTCTCCCTCTCTTTTTTTTTTCTAGGACAGGGTTTCACTATGTAGTTCAGATTGGCCTTGAACTCACTATGAAGCCCGGGCTGGTGTGAAACTCACAGTGATCCTCCTGCCTCAGCCTCCTGAGTACTGGGATCACAGGCATGTGCCACCATGCCTGGCCACCCCTGTGTTTGATCCCCAGTACCAAAAGAAAAATAAAATTTTTTGAGACAGGGTCTCACAACATAGTTCAGGCTGGCCTTGGACTATGTAGCCCAGGCCTCAAACTCATGGTGATCCTTCTACCTCAGCCTACCGAGTGATGGGATTATAGGCATGCACCATTGCACCTGGTAAGATCTTATCTTTTAAGCAGGCAATCCACTATTAATCTAGTCCATATATGTAGTCAATACATATCAATAACAGTAAAATCCCAGTCCAAAGGACTTAAAATAACAAAATACAATGACCCAAATCCTTTGACAATTCAGAAGCAGGTAAATGATCAAACTAGAAAATTACCTCCTTTTTGAGGCAAACAACAGGCTGAAGATAATGGAGTTTACAAGTTCTTGGCCTAATTCTTCTCTTTGCAACCTTCAATCTTAAATTTAAAATTTAAAAAACAAAAAACAAAAAAAAAAAGCTTTCAAGGCCTGTATTTCTAATCCTCATCAGAATCCCTAATTCCACTCCCTTCAAAGAACAACAAGAAAACAAAAAATCTTTACATAGTCCACAAAGCAAGAAAATAAATTTTCAGATGGCAGGCCAGAGCTATTTTGATGCTAATTTCAAACTAGCAGGGGAGAAAGGGCTTTGCTTACATGAATTGGCTAAGAGAAGAAATAAAGCTAAATAAACTTCAAGTGCAAATGATCGAGGTGAAGGGACTGAAATAGCCTAACCAGTACAGGACCACTGAAAATTGTACCAAGAAACAGAACCATTTGTGTAACTGCTGGGAAGCAGGACAGGTCTTCAGGAAAACAATACAGGTTAGAAGGAAAATAAGTAATATCTTCATTTTTAGACAGGGAGATGAAAAGATATACTTCATATGCATAAACATGTTCTCAGTTTACACTAGTATCCAGCACTTTAAAATTTTTCTCAATTTATCCTTCTTCCCCTTCTTCAGTAAGGAAAGCCCTTTGACCAGCAGCTGGGAAGTCTCATTCTAAGTGATCAGCATTCCTTTGACATTCTAAGAGGCTGGGTTATTTGTTTCCATAGAAACAGCTTTGTCAGCGAACACAGGATTGTGGCCAAGAAGAGTGAAAAGAACTTACATTATGCAAACTGGAAAAACCTTTTCTTTTTGGTTCTTCACAAAACTCAGGCTAACTTTCTTACTCTGTAAAACAGAAAAATAAGATAATTAGTCAAGTGTAAAAGTCTGCAAAGGGAGGTGGGAAAGAGAAAGGTTAACTTGGCGAGATACCCAAACTTGTTTTCACATATCTAGGGTTGGTATAAATTTGTAAAAACCCACCACCACCACCTCAGTCTCTAATTGACGTCAATTAAAAATCAGTGTTGTTGTATATTAGTACCACTGGATGTGTCAAATGGAGTCACACTGAAAAGTCTGGCAACTCCTCAAAAGACTAAACAAAAACTCAAGTCCCTGTGATTCCATTCCCAAATATACACCAAAAGAAATGAAAACACATTTACTTACACACACACACACACACACACACACAGACACACAGAAAAAAAAGTGGGGAATAAAATGCAAATGTCCATTCACTGATAAATGGATAAAAAGGTTTATGTTCATATACAAAACACAGAGTATACAGAAATACACAATAGAGATCCTTGAAAAGAGAAGTTAAAGTAGCCAGTCACAAAGAACCACATACTATATGATTCCTTTTATGAAATATCAAGAATAGGCAAATATATAGAGACAAAGTGGCATTTTTAGGCTGATGGGCAGAGAAGTATGGTTAAGGTGTGCAAGTTTCTTTTGGGGATGAAGAAAATTAATAGTGATGATTGCACAACTCTGAATATACTATAAGCCACTGAACTACATAAGTGAAATGAGAGTGTTATGGTATATGAATACTATCAATAAAGCTGTTTTTAAAATACAATGAGAAAACCAGGTATAGTAACATATACATGTAATCCCAAAATTTGGGAGTTCAGGCAGGATTACCATGAGTTTGAGGCCAGCCTGAACTACAATACATAGTGAGACTCTGTCTCAAACAACAACAACAACATAATGAAATACCATTAAAAATAAAATGGATAAATTGTTTTAAAATGACAATACTCAGCATTGAAAAAGACACAGAGAAAGTGGAACCCTCATTCAATACTGGAAAGTATGTAAAATGGTAGAGCCTATTTGGAAGTTTTTTACAAAATTAAACATACTACATACTTGCCATACAACCCAGCAATTCCACACGAGAAATAAAAGTATATTTTTTATCTTCACAAATGACATCAGTAAGGATTGTGCATAGCACGATTACCGATAACAGCTTAAAACTGGACATAGTATCCTGTAATTGGTAAATGGGTAAACAAAACATGGGATACTATTCAGCAATTAAAAAGAATGGGGCCAGGGATTTAGCTCAGTGGTGCCACTGCCTGCCTCACAAGCATAAAGTCCCGAGTTCGATCCCTGGTAACAAAAAGATAAAAAATAAAAATAAAAACAATGGACCAATGAATGATACAATAGTACAGATGTTCTCAAAATGTAAAGCCAGACACAAAAGCATACATTGTATGATTCCATTTATATGAAATTTCTGGACAAGGCAAAATTAGTGCCTGTATAAAACTAGTTTAGTGGTTTCCTGGGGCTGAAGTTGGTAGCAATTACAAAAGGACGGAGAGCTTTTTCCATGTGAAAGGAGTATTACAAAATTAGACTTCAGCACTGGCAGAATACGTGTATTTTATGAACTACACCTCAATAAAGATGTTTTAAAAACTCAAACATTAGCTAAGATGGTGGTGCATGCCGTAATCCCAGCACTAGGGAGACTAAGGTAAAGCAGGATTGCTGTGAGTTCAAGGCCAACCTGAAACCATGCCTCAAAAGCAAACAAAAAAGCCTCAAACATTTTAAATCGGTGAACCCTGATGTAAGATATACCTGTTCACCTGATTTTAAAAGAAAATAAAACCTTAAACAATGCATCTGTTTACACTTTTATTCGTATATGTTTACAGTACCGAATGATTACTCCCTTGTAGGGAGCTGGTTCATACACACAACACATCGACCCCTTTACCTCCTCCCCTCCTCTCCATCGCCCCTTTCTCCATCACTTAGTCCCCTTTCCACTTACAAAAGATCTTTTACTGTGCTGTTTATTTATGTTTTAGGTTTCTCAGTAAGAGAAACCAAGCAATATTTATTTCACTCAACATTATAGTCTCAAGGTGTACCCATTTTCTCACTAATGGTTCAAAATTTATTCTCCATATAGCAGAGTGGTACTCCACTGTACAAATGCCACATTTTCTCCATCCACTTATTTGACGATGGACACATTGGACACATCCAAGATTTAACTATTATGAATTGTGTTGCTATAAACATAGGTTTGCAGGTGTCACTACAAGATGATGAAAAATGCTACCTTGATAGTAAATTATACATACTTCTAACAATTTTTTAAAAAACCACTGGATAGTCCAAAGCAAGACATGACATCATAAAAACACCCTCGACTTGTTGGGAGCATAGCTCCATGGTAGGGCATGAGCTCACGTACACAGACTTCAGTTCATTATCCAGCATCAAAAAAGGGACAACTCTATTCACTCAATAAATGTTTGCTTTAATGCATAAATTTCAGTTTCCAACACTGAATGACTTAAAAATCCTCACAAAAACAACCAGCCATGTCCAAAACTAAGAAATTAGAAGTCAAAACTGAAATTTAATTGAGCCAGCAAAGCAAGATTGGAAAGAAATTACTACTCAGTACAAAGGACGTAACTGAAATAAAAAGTAGTCTCAAGATTTAACTGAAAAACAAATTCTCGTTTTTTCCTGTTCTCATATTTTTTCTTTTCCCTTCTTTTCTTTCCTCTACCCTTCCCACGTCCCCTATACCCCTTTTCTTCCTATTTCACACTATTAATTATACAATTTGAACCTTATTTACACTTTTAGTTTTTCACACCAGAGAAATTATGCAGTATTTACATGTGTGTCCTATTTATATCACTTAAAAGTATGGCCTCAATATGCATCAATTTTCCTATAAATGACTCTAGTTTCTCATTCTTTGTGGCTGAGTAGTACTCCATTCTATATATCCTGTTTTGTTTTGTTTTGTTTTGTACCAGGGATTGAACTCAGGTCCTTCTGCTTACAAGGCAGGCGGTGGAACCACTGTGCTAATCCCCAGCCCTCCTGGCTTTACTTTTAAGTTAAACACCCTGACAAGCCCTACAAAGGCATTGCTAAAATTCTACAGTTTATATTTTAGGTTTCAGATAGAACTACTTTCATTTGTTATCCAGATTTAACAGCATTCCAAAAAACCCACAGCAGTCTCATGGCTTTCAAACTGACTATATTTAGAACTCATAATGCCAGATAAATTTGTAAAGAATGGATGCACAATTCCCTGAATTAAAAAATAATCTTCAAAATAAAGAATCCAATAAAGCAGGGCTGCTGGGTGTGGTGGCCCAAGTCTAGAATCCCAGCATGCTGGGAGCCTGAGACAGGAGGACTGTTAGTTCAAACTCAGCCAGGGTTATTTATTGACTTAGCAAAACCCTGTCTCAAAATTTTAAAAAATAAAAATTTAAATAAAAAAACTTTTAAAAAGGGGCTTGGAATGTAGCTTAGTGAAAAGGCCCTGGGTTCAATCTTTAGTAACATATAACTTAAAGCTACATAAATCATCTGCCCTTATCCAAAAATGGACATCTGAAATGAATAGACATTTCTCAGATGAAGTAGAAACGGCAAGTAAATATATAAAAAGATGTTCGACATCACTGGTCATTTGAGAGATATAAATTCAGAGAGATTCCATCTCACTCCAGAAATGGCAATTATTAAGAAACCAGCCAATAGGAGACATACAAATAGACCAAAAAAAAAAAAAATGTTTAACACTGCTAATGACTAGAGAAATGCAAATTAAAACTTCAATGAGATACTGTATATCTCATACCTATGAGAATGGTTATGATAAAAAATACAAAGACAGTTAAGTCTTAGCAAGGCTGTCAAATAAAGGGAGCTCTTTACAATGTTGGTGGCTATAGAAGTCACATCACTTGAGTCCAGGAGTTCAAGATAGCCTGGGCAACTGGGTAAAAACTACCTCAAAATCAAAACAAACCCAACAAACTCGAAATCAGATTTGTCATTCTTATTTTACAAATGACAAAGGAAGAAAATCTAAGTCACTTTCCAAATTATACTTGGTGGGAGATATTTAAAAAAGAAAATCAACATAGTAATGATCACTAGCAGAACTATAATACAGGAAACAAAGAAAAACTACTGCCGAATAAACTGCCTTGCCCTGTATACTGGGGGTCAAAGAAAGTAGATACACTCTGAGTCATATATTCCAAAATGTGATACATTCCCCATCAACAGCTTAAAATCTTGCCAGAAACACAAAACATACAAAATGACATATTAAATAGTTACATTAAAAATGGTGCAAATGAGGAAAGAGTAAAAAACAGGTATGGAGTATTTAATGATCAGATAATACTATTTACTGATGATACTGAGTGCTGAACATTGAGCTATGAACTTTAGATACAGATAATCCTCAAACAAAGCTACAAGTTTTAGTACTGTTATCCCCAATAACAAATAAGGAGACAAGTTAAAGAAGCAAGTAAGTACATGTTCCTCCAAATAAACATTTAGCAATTATAACAGGTACTCCTGTATAAGATTTCATGCCCATTATGTCAACTAATCATTATGATCCTTCTTATATGGTCATTTATTTATTTATTTTATTTTGTACCAGGGATTGAACTTGGGTCCTTGGGCTTGCGAGGCAGGCGGCATACATGGTAATTTAAAAGGAATTTTTTTCCTTATTTTACAGAGGACATAAGCAGGGGTATTATTTAAACAGTTTGAGTAATCAGTGATGGAGGCAGTGAGTAGGAAAAGGGAAAAGCAGCAGCAGCACTATTTATAGGCACAGTGCCAAGAATTTCCCATATATTCTCTCATCTAATCTTTCTAAATCCCCAAATTTATCTTCACTTTACAGATGAGGAAAACAAGTAAGGAGACATTAAGCAGCCTCAAGGTCAGAATTCTAAACAGCTGAGAGAAGATTTAGGATGTCAAAACAGAAGCTAACTCTAGACATT